TGACAGATTGCGTTCTTTGAATGAATTAATCTCCTCGTGCGTTTACTGTCACCGCCGTCTCGCTTCCTCGTCAAATAAACGCCGACGATGCATCCTCGTGGCAGATACCAGAAACACTCCTCGGCTATCTGATCACACCCACAGCGGGCAGCTGTCCCCGGAAATTGACAGTAGATGAAATGAGCATCAATAATATTTACTCGGTTAAACTCCTCGCATTAGAAAGGCGCCGCCGTAAAGGGATGTTGTCATATCAGCAGACAATAACACCGTGGAAATCAATTCCATTCCTGTCTCGAGGTTTTTATGATGCGTTTTAAGTTTATGTATTCCACTAAACGGGGATATTATTTGAGTGTTTGGGGTCAATTTCTGGTCTCGAAGGCAGGTTCCAAGTGTTTCAGACCTCTGACAAAGACCTGACACAGTGTCTGAACCTTTTTGCTCTCAACAGACGGCTGAGACAAATCAGTGCATCGGAGTTAATAATTAAATATTCATGCCGTGTGGTTGTGCAAGGCCTGTTTTACTCATTTTAAGTTCTTCTAGCATTCACAGCATAATGTTGGTGATCTTACAGGTTTCGTGCATGTCTGTGGTATCGGTTCTAAGAAAACAGCATCAGGGAAAAAGCTCAAGAACTTCATGTTTACATTCCAGTGACAAACCTCCTCCAGCTCTTGTAGGATTTATGAATCTTGTTCTTTGGGAGTGAAAGGATGAAATGGAGCAGGTGGAGGTGGACTGATGGGTCAGCAGCATGACAGCAGCTGCTTGCTTCACATTTTTCTATCAGCTTCTTTTAACCGTTGCAGGGCCTGAACTAAACACCAACAAACTCGTGAACCAGTTATCCTGCTGCAACACATACAAATCAACCCACAGCACTTCTTTTTTGTATTTTATTTTATCTTATGTGTTGTTTTTACCTGCTTGCCTGTTCTTTTTGCTTTGTCTGCTTTCGTATTAGTTGCTTTTATTCTTTAATCCTGTAAAGCGTCTTTGAGTTTCTGAAAAGCGCTATAGTATTTTATATAATCAAGNATTTTGTCAGAACTTATTCTGCCATAGCTCTGCGATGACACACATGCAGAACCTATCGTCTGTAAATGTTGCGTAACATTTCCTAAAAGACCGCTGTCGTGATTTTATTATATATATTTTTTAATTTCATTTCATGCTGATAAAACAGAAGGAGTGAGACGGGGATGATTGTTTTTCTTATTACTTGCTTTTATGACGATTGAGCAGAGTCTCTCAGGCTTTCTTTATGCTGTTGTGCCACTGTCTGGAAACACTGCTTCTGTTTGCAAGACTGTGAAATCCTCAAGAGCGAAAACTTTGTAGAAACTCCGACTTTTTACGTGTAACCTGGTAAATCGCATTACGAAACATACAGACGTGGATGAGTGTCAACCTAATCTAGCATCACTTTACTATGACCAGCAATTTCCCACCAAATTCCAATTATTTCAAGCTTTTTTTATTTAGTAAGAAACTCACCAAAGATCCAAATTGTCCAGTGCCAGGTCTGTGATGCTGGAACCTGCTCCGCTATCGACAAACGTTGGCGATCGGGCGAAGTCGATGTACTGCAGCCTCAGCCGCCGGACGGGGGCCGCTTGGAGGTTCTTCAAAGCCATCCTCAGGAGATTCTCGTTGAACTTACCCCTGTGGAAGATGAGCTGGTGGACTGTGATGTCTTTCAAACCCTGAAAGATGTCCTCTGGTTGCATGTAGTACATGAACTCAAACAGGTTGCGGAACTGGATGACGGCGAACGTCTTGTTGGCCAGGTCGCGTAGCATGTGACGGAGCGCGTTTGACCGCTGATCTACGGCCATGTCGAAGCCCATCTGCTGCGTCTGAATGACTTCTAAACTTCCAGGCTCGTAGTAACTCAGATTGGAGGAACATTTGATGGCGAAACCTTGCAACCCGATGTTCTTGAGGGGCTGAAAGTCCCCCTTCTTTAGACCCATCACTAGAGGGCCGCCCATCGACAGCACTTGGAGTTTCACGAATTTGGAGAAGCTGTCAGCCAGAGTGGCGTGTTTATAAAGGTTATTGGACATGTAGAGCGTTTTCAGGTTGGTGAGAGGTGTCAGAGCCGCGGCGGGAATTTCCTGCAGAGAGTTATTAAAGATGTCGAGATGCTCCAGCAGCGCGTTGTTTCTGAAGGCGTCGTTGTCAATGTGTGAGATATTGTTGTACCTCAGCTGAAGGACGCGAAGCTGAGGGAGGCGCAGGAAGTCGTCAGCGCCAACAGCTTGGAGCTTATTGAACGAGAGGTCGATTTCTTCAAGCGTGGATGGGAACTGTGTCCACGGGACGTTTTCCAGCTGTCGCCCGAGGCAGTCTGCAGACCGGCCGGAGTTGTGGATGCGACAGGGTCCTCGCTCCGTGTTAGCGGTGGGCGCTGACGATGGAGTCGGCGACGTGAGAACGCCAACGAGGAGGGCGCAGAAGGGAAGCCGTTTCCAAAGCATTGTGATAAATCTAGACAGGAAAAAAAAGAAAAACAGAAAAAATGATGTTTCAAAGCATTTTCTGTCTGTTACATGAAGAAAGAGGCTGGATATTTTTTCACATATATATTCATACAAAGACTGATCTTTCATCCC